ACCCGCACCGTACATGGTGTTGGCAAAGAACTGCTTCCCCCTCCTGAGGCGCCGGACAGTTTGCCAGAATCTCTTTGAGGCCGACGTTGTGTGTGCGGACTGGGTCGCCGAGGTCTCCGCCTTCGACCGCTGCCCAGTCCTCTCTGCACCGCTTCGCCACCACGGACCCCTCTGCGGGTGGTGGGCCCACAGGAGGGACCACCCACGTCGTCCATTCGGGCTGAGCCCGGCCGGGCCCCGTGGGCTAAGGCCCGGCCACCAGGCGCTCGCATACGAGCCCCGACCCCAGGCCTGGCTCCAGGGTGGGGCCCCGGCTGCGCCATGCCGGGCGACGTCACTGATTTTGTATTTGTGCTGTCCATGGTGTCTTCTGGACTGCTCTTCGTCTGACTCGTCACCTGAGACCTGTCTGCCATGGGAGGCCCTACCAGGGGCATGAAGCCCCAGACAGCATAGCTCCCAGGATCATCCGAACTTTGATGTGATAAAAAAAGACAATAGAATATATCATGAAACATGTTTTATTTTGTTAAGTGAAGACAAAAGCACCATAACACATTCATAACTCAGTCAAATCCCCAAATATAAACTTTATAAGATTTTACATATAATTTTAAAGCAGCACATGGGTGAGTTATCTGGAGGGAAAAGACTTAACACTACTCCCTGAAATGTCCTGTTTCCAACTGCACAATACTGGACACGGATCCGTCAGTTATCAAGTCTTCACACGGGAAATGCCTTTAAGTCAAATAGTTATACAAAGATCTTTATCATCTTTAACACAAAAGAAACACAATCGAGTATTTTTTATTTTATCTTTGAGTCTTTGTGTTTTTAACCACGTTATAACAATTTTACTTCAAAAATATCCCTGAGTTGTTTCCAGCTCCATTCGTGTGGGCATCATTTCCCTTTTGTCTAAACCAGGGGTCGGCAACCTGCGGCTCCGGAGCCACAGGTGGCTCTTCAGTGCTCCTCCAGTGGCTCCTGCAGCCTTTCATAAATGTCTGAAAATGGAGTGGGAGGGCTATATTTCATTTCTAGTTTGAATGTGGTTTTTGTGGGAGGGAAAACATTCTTAATGTTTTTAAATACTGTAAAAATTTAATAGTAATGTAATATTCAATTTCAACATTTCTGTGAACGTAGTGCGTCCTGTGACGCGGCTCACGCCGGGCGCCCGCTGTGGTAAACAAACCTGTGTGTTCATGGATCCAAAAGATAAAAAGAGAAAGAGTCGACTGGACTAAGAATAAGAACAGTTTCTTTCAGTCGATGAGGAAGGACTGCTTCATGTTTGTGTCGTAATGAGTTTTGTTTCAACACGAGGAACAATGACACGTTAAACACCGCTCACGTGATTCATTCATCACAAATTCAGAGCATCTACTTTCAGACTTCAGAAAACCTATATATATATATATATATATATATATATATATATATATATATATATATATATATATATATATAGGCCTTTAAGGACATTACGACAGATGTTGTTCTTAGTTTTTTTGTCAAATTTGGCTCTTTGAACCTTTTGGGTTGCCGACCCCGGTCTAAATGCTGCTCTTTGTCACACTGACGATGACATCATTGACAAGTAGGTTTTGAAATGTCTCCAGTTTAAATGACAGCTTTTAGAACTATGTGCTTTCAGTTCAACAAGTCTTTTTTATAAAAGTAGAATGAGCGCCACAACGACAGCAGTTGTTTGCACGTGTGCGTCACTGCAAGCATTTCCTGGGTTTGATTCCACCTCCAGACGGGCCTTTTTGTGAAGAGTTTGCATGTTCTCAGCGTGGGTCACTGTCGTTGGAATGTTGTTATCATTTAGAATCATTCCTAAGTGTTGTATGTCTGTCAAGTGCTGCTGTTAATTGTACTGTCCCGTCTAGTCCTAAAACAAATAAAACATTTATAAAAGGTTTTGAGCTGAGACATGTTGGTGTTAAATGTTCCGGATATTATGGTGAATGGAGCTAAAATCAACCCCAGGTCTGCTTTAGATGTAAAACAGAATGCAATCATTAATATCATAGTAACAAACAGTTAGTTTTTCATAGTAAGTGTCCTTGATTTTAAAACCACAGCATTGGTTTAAACACTTTCCAAAATGACTCAATAATATCTACAGACATGTCCAGCGCTAGAAGAACTGGACTTCTGGTCCATACACTGGTCTGGAAGCAGAGGGCCAGGACTTTCCCAAGATCAGTTTTAACCACCACCAACCATTCACGCACACACAAAACTCATTTTAGGCAATGTGGGTGAAGTGTCTTGCCTAAGGACACAACAACAGTTTGACACTTTGATACAGACACAGCTGCCCCACTGTGGCACTTGATGTTCTCAGGTCTCCCATCAAAGGGCTGACTAGGCCCTGCCCTGCACAGCTTCAGAGGTCTGATGGACTCTGGCTTTTGCAAGTATAGCCCACAGACCCAAATGTCATCTTCTTTTCCAGAGCGCAGTGAATCCTATTGTTTTCCCAGTTCAGCATTATGAAGCGTAATTTTATATTGTGAAGAGAAAATATTCAAATACAAGCACATGCTCACCCACCTACTCTCTGATTAGATTGGGTTTTGAGTGTTTCCTTGACGATGCAGACAGATCTAAGGAAACAGGATGATTCTTTAAGCCAATGTGTTTCTTATGTCACCTCTGACCCTGTGACTCTCTCCTTTGAGGACTGTGTGCTGTTGATGTCAAATGGGAAATGATTGAAGTGCTGACACACCAACCTTTAAACCAGGTCTGTTTCAGTTGTAAACTTCTCCAACAATCAGACCACTTCAGACAGAAGAGGACTTCAGACGCAAATCAAAACTTCTGAGTCCAAATTATACTTGACCAAGTGATATAAAGTATTATTTGTCAACTTTGTCTTTTCTATCAAGTCTTTGTATTTTCTCTTCTAAAGACTGCACATCAGATCCCTCAGCATGATCCAGCACATAATGAGGTAAGGTCCCAGCGAGGGGGGGGCAGCGGAAGGACCCTGCAGTGTGTGCTTACAAGAGGGCGTAAGACGAGCCGCAGACCCTCACCTCCAAGCCTCTCCAGTTTCTGCAGAACACTGTGACAGGGCCCGTACGCAGGGACCGTGAAGAGACGGGAGCTTGCAGGGGTTATCCGAGGATAACGCTGAACGCAACAGCCGGGGAAAGATCCCACGTAGAGGGTCTCATGCTGTATTTATTACATCGTCAGGAACTCAGGATTTTGAAATCACCAATAATAAAATCAAGAGCTATCAAAAGGTTGTTCTCCTTTTCAAATACAAAACGCTTTCAGATTTACTTCAACTTCACTACTTCCTTGCGTTTCCTAGCACCAAACTGTTGCGAAACAGTTTGGTGCTATCCCTTGTTTTCACATGCATGTATTTAGGACCAACCCTGACTTAGCCCAATCAGCTCTCAGTCCAAAGCCCAAAGGGTGACTCAAGGTTCTTTCTTAAATACGTTCTCAAAAAATGTTTCTAAAGAGATGAAGAAAGGATGTTGTGCTCTGATTTGTTCTCAACATTCTACTTTCAAGCATTTATGAATGAAGCTTTTCATATTTTTTCAATAAATTAAATGGTCATGATGAAAACTACAGTTTATTCCCTATATTCTGAAATGTATTACTTGTATTATGCTATCATCCCGCCATGGGGTATTGTGATTGCCACTGTGTGTCTGTTGGCAGAATTTAAAAATACTTCTAGACGGATTCAACTGAAACTTGGCATGTAGTTGAGATGGGGGCAGAAAAAAAATGTGTGTGGCTTCACAGGGTTTCAATAAATAATAATCTAAATAATTCAGTCCTGCTCTTCTCCTCATAAGCTGCGTTTCCATTGAATAATGCGCAAAAACTTTTCGAAAAACCTGTAATTCGCAAAAGCGGCCGTTTCCATTACGACATATTCGAATAAGTATACACTATTTTCGTGCGTTTATTCACTAGTTTCTAGTACGTCAACATGACAACAGAAGTAAACAACACTTTGATTTACGTGAGATATATTAATGTCTTGACTTCTGCTGCGCCTCTCATCATTAACCGGATTAAGCGTCGGTGGCATCTCCTTCTAGTGTAATGGAGCGGCGATCTCCGTATACTTGGGAGAAGATGCGGATGAGAACCTTTTGGGAAGTCGTGGTACATGATTTCACAGAGGAACTATGGATCCAAAACTTCAGAATGACGCGCACAACATTTGAGGAGCTGTGTGAAGCGGTGGGAGCTTGTGGCTCCCGCTGCACACTGCCCTAGAGAGACAGTTCCCACAGAGCATTGCCATTGTTATAACTATAAACTGGCTACTTGTGCGGAGTATAGAGCAGTGGCTGAGACATTTGGAGTGAGCAAGACCACAGTCCATCGGTGTGTTTATGGGGTGTGTAAGGCGTTATGTACAAAACTAATGAAGAAATACATCGCATTGCCAGATGTGAATGAAGCAAAAGACATTGCCATGCGTAATTACGCAGCGCAGGGCTTGCCACAGATCTATGGAGCAATAGATGGATCACACATCCCTATTCGTGCCCCGAAGGATGGCTACAGGGATTACGTTAACAGGAAAGGGTGGCCGTCAATTACCCTGCAGGCTGTTGTGGACGATCAGCTGATGATCAGAGATGTATGTTTTGGGTTTATCAACACCCGGCTTCCTCCGCTATATCGAAATAAGTGTTTCCATTGCTGTTTTGCAAAAAACTTAATTTCGATACGTCCAAAAAACACAGATTTTAAGCGCATTAACTTTTTATCGAAAAACTGTGGTTTATTCGAAATTTGCGCGTTTCCATTAGACATTTTATGATGAGCAAATTCAAATTTCTAAATTTGATGCTCAATGGAAACGCAGCTTATGACATGCATGTATCGCTGGTATAACTGAGTGTGTAAATGTGAGATCAAACCACTACTCTATTCGACATGTCCCATTCAGCGCTGCAGAAGAGATTTCCAAAGCGGTGTGTATGTCAAAGCCTTTACTGCGTGGAAGAAGAGCAGCGGCTCTTGTCCCGGGGCACCACCAGGATCTGGTCCCCATCCCGGATGCTGTAGGAGTGCAGGGCGCGGCTGCCACACTTCATCTCCTCTGGGCCTAGCACGGCACACATGTCACGGTTTATGTAGAAGAGACGCACCTGAAAGATACAGAATAACGTACCATCAGGGAAATCATGTCAAATATGATCACACGACAGTGGATTACTCTTACTTATTCATGTAGCAGAATGGTGCTGTTAAAGATTGAACTACAGACCTGGACAAAAACAACGCAACAGACAAGGATACATTTTCAGCGCCTGCATGGTCTCGGCACATCTCTGATCCTGGTGCTGTGGCCGAGCGTGCTCTGAACTCCAAAGATTACATATGGCCCAAACCATTAGTTTGTTGACACAGTTCAAACATTTTAGCCTAAAAAGGTTTCCTTATCTCTCACTGACAACCCATAAATTGCACGTTAGAAAAGTCACTTCACAACCCAAACTTAGTGAGAAATAGACATGCATTAACAATGACAACGGATAGAAGTGACCCACTGACCTGTTAACATGCTTTCACCGTTACAGCGTAATCACAGTGAACTTTGACAACACAGCATTAAAGACATTAATTATTCATTAAAATAACTTATATAATTCTACTGTCAGGTGCACACAAAGTTAGAGGGGCTGAGTGAAAGGGACTCACATGGTTCCTCAAGATAAGAGTCAAAAGTGTCTGTTGTACTAACAACGCACATTGTACCACTATATACTTTTTAACTCTACTTTAAAATACTCTCCTAAGCACAGCATCTTGGTTTAGGACAGACCGGATACTAAAACTAACATGTTATGAACAAATCAGACCACAACAGGCTTTCTTCATCTTATTAGAACTGTTTTTTTTTTCATATAAGAAAAATTATAAGACAAAAACTGATACACAGATGTGTCAGAGGCAAACGTTACATGCAACTAGTGATAGAACCAATGTTTTGAGAACAAGCAGTTCCAATTTGGTGTGGTTTGACAGTTAGTATCAAAACTATTGTATTAAACCTTGGAAAACACTACTTTTTAAAAGATTCCCACAAATTCATAGGCGTTCACTTGCTCTGTATCCAAAGTGAACCAAACTGACCCTAACCCTAACCCTCATCTTTAGGCCATCTCACCCCGTGTCCGGTCAGCTGCAGTAGGCCTCGGAGCTGCCTCTTCAGGTCCCCCACAGTCTGCTCCAGACGCAGACCCAGTGTCTCAACACGCTCTCCCCACAGGACCTCCACCGTGGTGCAGTGCGGCCTCAGATCCACCTCAGCCAAAGGGGCCAACTCGCCATACTTGGACACTAGCATGTGGTACCTGCAATGGTGAGCAGTAAGAGGAGGATTCACTATTATCCAGCGCCACATAAAAAGGCTCAGAGAGTGTGTTTACAAAGTGAAAACCAAATTCTCCATTCTTCATTTTAATTTGGATTCATAAAGATGCATGTAATCCCATGCATGCCAAATGAGGAGTGAAAAACCAGTCCATGCGGAGGTGCTGGTGTACGCCGATAAACACATAAGTCAGATTTAGAGATGGATATACAGTGGTATATACGATGTTTATGGTTTCCATTATAAATCATTGGTTGTTTGGATGAGTCATTTATGTAGAAGACAAACACAGTGGTATTTGAGAAGTGAAATTAAGTTTATATCATTCACAGAAAGTGTGAAAGAATTATTTAAAACCTAATTAGGTATGTGCATAAATGTACGCACCACTAAAAACATCCTCCTTTTGCAGAAACGACAACCTCTGAAGGCTTCCTATAACTTCCAATTAGAGTCTGGATTCTGGTGGAAGGTATTTTGGACCATTCTTCTTTGCAGATCATCTCTAGTTCAGTCAGGTTGGATGGGTTCAGAGTAAGGCTGGGCGATATGTCATTTGTATCGGTCGATAGCGATATATATTGATTGTTTTTTTGTTTTTGATTTTAAACCAAAATAAACACATTTGTCGTGTCGCTAACACACGTTAGCAGCCCCTGTTTATAGTCACGGGGAATGAGGCTCAGGGAATATGTTCACAAGCACAGTGTCCCCCATAGTTAGCCCTGGTTTAGCTCCTGTTTTAGTCCTGGTTTAGTCCTGGTTTAGTCCTGGTTTAGCCCTAGTTTTGCCCTGGTTTAGCCCTGGTTTAGCTCCTGTTTTAGTCCTGGTTTAGTCCTGGTTTAGCCCTGGTTTAGCTCCTGTTTTAGTCCTGGTTTAGTCCTGGTTTAGCCCTGGTTTAGCTCCTGTTTTAGTCCTGGTTTAGTCCTGGTGTAGCTCCTGTTTTAGTCCTGGTTTAGCCCTGGTTTAGCCCTGGTTTAGCTCCTGTTTTAGTCCTGGTTTAGTCCTGGTGTAGCTCCTGTTTTAGCCCTGGTTTAGCCCTGGTTTAGCCCTGGTTTAGCTCCTGGTTTGGCTGTTTTCGAGTGTCTTGTGTCCCTGTGACGGCTCCAGAAACAGGTTCATCTCTTGCCTTTGCCGCATGCATCTGGTCTCTGTGCCCACTGCCTCCTGCTGCACAGGCTGTTCCTCACACGGACGTACAGAACCATTGTATCGGGTCTCTGTGCCCACTGCCTCCTGCCGCACAGGCTGCTCCTCACACGGACGTACAGAACCATTGTATCGGGTCTCTGTGCCCACTGCCTCCCTGCCGCACAGGCTGCTCCTCACACGGACGTACAGAACCATTGTATCGGGTCTCTGTGCCCACTGCCTCCCGCCGCACAGGCTGTTCCTCACACGGACGTACAGAACCATTGTATCGGGTCTCTGTGCCCACTGCCTCCCGCCGCACAGGCTGCTCCTCACACGGACGTACAGAACCATTGTATCGGGTCTCTGTGCCCACTGCCTCCCGCCGCACAGGCTGTTCCTCACACGGACGTACAGAACCATTGTATCGGGTCTCTGTGCCCACTGCCTCCTGCCGCACAGGCTGTTCCTCACACAGACGTACAGAACCATTGACAGTATCGGGTCTCTGTGCCCACTGCCTCCCGCCGCACAGGCTGTTCCTCACACGGACGTACAGAACCATTGTATCGGGTCTCTGTGCCCACTGCCTCCCGCCGCACAGGCTGCTCCTCACACGGACGTACAGAACCATTGTATCGGGTCTCTGTGCCCACTGCCTCCCGCCGCACAGGCTGTTCCTCACACGGACGTACAGAACCATTGTATCGGGTCTCTGTGCCCACTGCCTCCTGCCGCACAGGCTGTTCCTCACACAGACGTACAGAACCATTGACAGTATCGGGTCTCTGTGCCCACTGCCTCCCGCCGCACAGGCTGTTCCTCACACGGACGTACAGAACCATTGTATCGGGTCTCTGTGCCCACTGCCTCCTGCCGCACAGGCTGCTCCTCACACGGACGTACAGAACCATTGTATCGGGTCTCTGTGCCCACTGCCTCCCGCCGCACAGGCTGTTCCTCACACGGACGTACAGAACCATTGTATCGGGTCTCTGTGCCCACTGCCTCCTGCCGCACAGGCTGCTCCTCACACGGACGTACAGAACCATTGTATCGGGTCTCTGTGCCCACTGCCTCCCGCCGCACAGGCTGTTCCTCACACGGACGTACAGAACCATTGTATCGGGTCTCTGTGCCCACTGCCTCCTGCCGCACAGGCTGTTCCTCACACAGACGTACAGAACCATTGACAGTATCGGGTCTCTGTGCCCACTGCCTCCCGCCGCACAGGCTGTTCCTCACACGGACGTACAGAACCATTGTATCGGGTCTCTGTGCCCACTGCCTCCTGCCGCACAGGCTGTTCCTCACACGGACGTACAGAACCATTGTATCGGGTCTCTGTGCCCACTGCCTCCCGCCGCACAGGCTGCTCCTCACACGGACGTACAGAACCATTGTATCGGGTCTCTGTGCCCACTGCCTCCTGCTGCACAGGCTGTTCCTCACACGGACGTACAGAACCATTGTATCGGGTCTCTGTGCCCACTGCCTCCTGCCGCACAGGCTGTTCCTCACACGGACGTACAGAACCATTGTATCGGGTCTCTGTGCCCACTGCCTCCTGCCGCACAGGCTGTTCCTCACACGGACGTACAGAACCATTGTATCGGGTCTCTGTGCCCACTGCCTCCCGCCGCACAGGCTGTTCCTCACACGGACGTACAGAACCATTGTATCGGGTCTCTGTGCCCACTGCCTCCCGCCGCACAGGCTGCTCCTCACACAGACGTACAGAACCATTGTATCGGGTCTCTGTGCCCACTGCCTCCCGCCGCACAGGCTGTTCCTCACACAGACGTACAGAACCATTGTATCGGGTCTCTGTGCCCACTGCCTCCCGCCGCACAGGCTGTTCCTCACACGGACGTACAGAACCATTGTATCGGGTCTCTGTGCCCACTGCCTCCCGCCGCACAGGCTGTTCCTCACACGGACGTACAGAACCATTGTATCGGGTCTCTGTGCCCACTGCCTCCCGCCGCACAGGCTGCTCCTCACACAGACGTACAGAACCACTGACACGGCTCTGAAACACCATCTTAGATCCATGGACGCTACGCATGGTGCATTTTTATCAGAATGTTTTGCGGTTCATGCTTGGCTGTGATAGGTCGAGAAGCCTCTGCCTACATTCCCCAGAATGCCGTGCACTTCGGACTCAGCTTTACTTCCTGCGTTTTCTTCCTGTTTGTTTCTAACAGAGTGAAGTTGAATTATTGAATATTCTATTGGTATCTATTGTTATTGTTTTATCGCCCAGCCCTAGTTCAGCGCATGGACAGCCTGTTTTAAATTAAAGTAGCAACATGTCATATCTCAACTCAAAAACTTTATTGTCCCCGAGTGGAACATTTTTCGCAAGTGGTGCAGAGAAATAAATATTAATAACAATACAATATTTACAGTGAGGCACACATATCAGGCACAGCTCAATCCACAGGAAACATGTGGAAATCTTTAACAGTGATTTTCAAATCATTATTGACAAAAAAAGGATTAAAAAGAGGATCTCTATCAGGGATGCCTTTGAAAGATGGAGATAATTGAAGGAGGATAAGATCTTTTTGTCCGACACAAAACTTGCTACGTTCCAAGTTAGTAAAGCATTGACCTTTTCTTAATACCTGTAATACATACATGAATATACCATGTATTGTCCAGTCTGTATTGAATACAATCTTGTCTAACAAAGTATGTTTGCACTTAGCACCGTGCTTAGCATGCTAGCATACTAGCATACTCCAGTGGCCTCGACAAATAGGATAAATTGTGAAATATACTGTATGCCTTAGTCTTTATATCAAAGTGTAATCGAACTGAATTGGGTTTTGTCAGTGCCTTTTTTGTTCAAAATGTGCTTTAGCACGACTATCAGGGAAATGTGAACCGAGACGGACGAATAACTTGATAAAATAATTCCTCATTTGTGTTAGCATATGTAACAGGTTATATAGCAACCTGAAACAGTAGTCTATGGAGGTAAAATGTCTCGTTTTTAGTTCAGGGCATTTCCACCTGTATAACCATTGCTAGGGATGGTTGTAGTTTGTGTTAGTTTAGTGTTCAGATGGTGCTGATACAAACCATAGAATGGCTATTTGTTTTACACAAACATGACGTACGTATTTCAACCTTAAAATAGCCCTATTTCTGCATAAATGTGTTAGTTATAGATTTATTGTTAATTATGGTCCCAGCCCCTCAACCCAGTAGAGGCAGTAGAGGCAGTAGAAGCAGTAGAGGCAGTAGAGTCAGTAGAGGCAGTAGAGGCAGTAGAAGCAGTAGAATAGAGTCAGTAGAGGCAGTAGAGTCAGTAGAGGCAGTAGAGGCAGTAGAATAGAGTCAGTAGAGGCAGTAGAGGCAGTAGAGTCAGTAGAGTCAGTAGAGGCAGTAGAGGCAGTAGAGGCAGTAGAGTCAGTAGGAGTCAGTAGAGGCAGTAGAGGCAGTAGAGGCAGTAGAATAGAGTCAGTAGAGGCAGTAGAGGCAGTAGAGGCAGTAGAGGCAGTAGAGGCAGTAGAGTCAGTAGAGTCAGTAGAGTCAGTAGAGTCAGTAGAGTCAGTAGAAGCAGTAGAGGCAGTAGAAGCAGTAGAGGCAGTAGAGGCAGTAGAAGCAGTAGAGGCAGTAGAGTCAGTAGAGTCAGTAGAAGCAGTAGAGGCAGTAGAAGCAGTAGAAGCAGTAGAGGCAGTAGAGTCAGTAGAGTCAGTAGAAGCAGTAGAGTCAGTAGAAGCAGTAGAGTCAGTAGAGTCAGTAGAGTCAGTAGAGTCAGTAGAAGCAGTAGAGGCAGTAGAGGCAGTAGAGGCAGTAGAGTCAGTAGAGTCAGTAGAGTCAGTAGAAGCAGTATAG